TGTATATATATATACACACACACACACACACATTATATATATATTATATATATATATATATATTATATATATATATATATATATATATATATATATATATATATTATATATATATATATATATGTGTGTGTGTGTGTGTGTGTGTGTGTGTGTGTGTGTATATCGTACTAAATAAGCCGAACTCCCATAAAAATAAAACTTTTCCAAAACTTAATAACTATTTGTTTTCATTAAGAATGATACAATGATTTTTTAATTTTTCTCCTAACTAAATTAAATGAACTGCAACTTCAGCCTATTCATATATTTAACAAGACAAATGACTTCTTCTCAGTAGTAAAATTCAAAGCACCAATACCCGAGCAGGTGATTACCTACATGGAAACTACCCAAAATCCCTCTATCTTGCACCAACCAAGCTCACTGTAGTCACCATGATTATTAATTCACTAAAAAATAAATCAGGAAATCTAGCTCATGTCCCGCTACTATTGTTCAAACGAATGGCTTATGTCCTCGTAACCACCATTACATTACTCTTTAACAAATCACTAGAAACTAGCAATTTCCCAACATTACTCAAGATGGAAATATAAACACATATGCAGTATAATGTGATCCTTTATTGACACCGTTTTGCCCACACAGTGGGCTTTATCAAGTCACAAACTGTGACTGTGTGGGCAAAACACTGTCAATAAAGGATCACATTACACTGCATGTGTGTTTATATTTCCATTGTGTCGGTATTTTATACCATTTATTTCCATTACTCAACATAGCAAGGGTTACACCAATACACAAAGGTGGAGACCCATCAGCTGTAAATAAGATAAGATCAAATTTTCTTCGGAGTTTTAACCCCGGAGGGTTAGCTACCCAGGATAACCCAAGAAAGTCAGTGCATCATTGAGGACTGTCTAACTTATTTCCATTGGGGTCCTCAATCTTGTCCCCCAGGATGCAACCCACACCAGAAGACTAACACCCAAGTACCCATTTGCTACTAGATGAACACGACAACAGGTTTAAGGAAACACGTCGAAATGTTTCCACCCCACCAGGAATCAAACCAGGGCCCTCCATGTGTGAAGTGAGAGCTTTAGCCACCAGACCACCGGGCCAATATCGAACTTGCCTTTACTATCCAAAATCTTCATGAAACTCATACACAAGAGATTATACTTCTTTATAATATCACAAAGCCTCCTCAGCCCCTGCCAGTTTGACTGCATGAGAAACAAAAACACAAATGATGCAATTATAAAAATGCTAGACCTGCTTTACACAGCACTTGAAAAATGAATATCCACTAGGACCCTTTATTGACCTAAGGAAAGCTTTTGATACAGTAGACCACAACATCCTACTTTACAAACTTGATCATTACGGTAGATTCCAGGCATTTGCATATACAGTGGTCCCTCGTTTATCATCCTTAATCCGTTCCTGGAAGTGGGACTATTATTGAAATAGACGATTTTCGAATCAATTTTCCCCATAAGAAATAATGTAAAAAATATAATTAATCCATTCCTGACACCCAGAAGTATTAAAGCAAAAAAATTTTTTACATGAAATATAGATGTAGTACATAAACAATACAATGGGACATGATGAATGAAACATTAACAGCATAACACTTACCTTTATTGGAGATTCTTCTTAGTGTATGGAAGACTGGAGGAGGAGAGAGATTGAATTATTGTTTGGAAGGGGAATCCCCTTCCATCAACACCTCAGGTACCAAGTGCTTTCCTGGGGTTACTTCTCTTCTCTGTTTCTTAATGCCTTCACGGCGCGCATAACGGAGATAAAACCTAAGACCCAATCTAACTTTGTTATTTTTTAAATACACTACCTAACAGAATACTCCATTCGACTGAATGTACAGCAATGCATGCAACCATATGACCTGTCTTTGTAATACTCATTTGTGCCTTACTGTTATCTGTTTACAATAATGTTTTATCACTGATTACATCATTGCTTAGTTAAACTTAAGTTAATTTTAAGCCAGCCCGTAATGCTATGCATACAAATGGCTTTGGCATGCTGCTCTTACCTGTATTTTTTTTGTACCTCTGTATGTATGCTCAAATTACTAAATAAATAAATAAATAAATAAAAAACACCTCAATTACTGGGAGCGCTTGAAGTTCCTGAACCTGTACTCCCTGGAACGCAGGCGGGAGAGATACATGATTATATACACCTGGAAAATCCTAGAGGGACTAGTACCAAACTTGCACACGAAAATCACTCACAACGAAAGCAAAACCTCGGCAGATGATGCAACATCCCCCCAATGAAAAGCAGGGGTGTCACTAGCACGTTAAGAGACAATACAATAAGTGTCAGGGGCCCAAGACTGTTCAACTGCCTCCCAGCATACATAAAGAGGATTACCAATACCCCTGGCTGTCTTCAAGCAGGCACTGGAAAAGCACCTAAAGTTGGTACCTGATCAGCCAGGCTGTGGCTCGTACGTTGGATTGTGTGCAGCCAGCAGTAACAGCCCGGTTGATCAGGCTCTGATCCACCAGGAGGCCTGGTCACAGACTGGGCCGTGGGGACGTTGACCCCCGAAACTCTCTCCAAGTAAACTTTAGGACCAGCTTGAGAGTCACTGGAGTCCTGTCTCGCAAAAAAACTGTCCAGAGAGCTCTGTTTCTGGCATCTTTTTAAAACTTCCCTAAAATGGGCCAAGACTCTGTCACTGTACAACTGCTGATATGGCTTGCAACATCCTTCTCAGGGTGATGTTTCTCCATAAATCTTTCCATCCTACCCCACATTTCAAAAATCTCCTTAATTTCTGAAGAAGGCACCTTCTTCCATCTCTCTTCCTCCTCCTCTGCAGCAAAATTCTGAGCTGCGATCTGTTGCCATTCCTGCTGAAGCTCTTGCAGCTCCTCAGTGGTTAGCTCTTCATTGTGGTCCTCCACCAACTCTTCCACATCCTCCAAACTCACATCCTACCCCATGGAACTCCCCAGTGCCACAATAGAGTTCACAACATACACAGGCTCATCAGGGGCCACCTCAAACCTTTCAAAATCCCTCTTGTGGACACAATCTGGCGACAAGTTTCTCCAAGCAGAGTTCAAAGTCCTGAAAGTCACTCCCTCCCAAGCCTTACCTATAAGGCTTATGCAATGGAGAATACTGAAGTGTTCTTTCCAAAAATCTCTTTGGGTCAAAGGTCTGAGGTCACATTAAAGTACCTTTCAAACATTGCTTTGGTGTAGAGTTTTTTAAAGTTTGAAATGACCAGCTGGTCCATGGGCTGGAGAAGAGGAGTGGTATTCAGGGGCAAGAACTTTACTCTTACACTTGATTCAAAACTCCCCACGCATTCACTCAACATTTCCCAAAATCTCTCTCTCTCCTCTACACTTCTCTCTTCTCCAGGTGCATACACGCTTATTATAACCCACTTTTCACATCCAATCTTTATTTTACTCCACATAATCCTTGAAGTAATACATTTATAGTCCCTCTTTTCCTGCCATAGCTTATCCTTCAACATTATTGCTACTCCTTCTTTAGCTCTAACTCTATTTGAAACCCCTGACCTAATCCCATTTATTCCTCTCCACTGAAACTCTCCCACCCCCTTCAGCTTTGTTTCACTTAAAGCCAGGACATCCAGCTTCTTCTCATTCATAACATCCACAATCATCTCTTTCTTATCATCTGCACAACATCCACGCACATGTATTATATTTTTTCGTTATGCTCAGATCAATTTCCGCTGATTTATGGAAAGAAAAAATTTCATTCGGCTTATTTGGCAAAGTTCATGAATGACACCTGAATTTGCATGACAATGTCGTGAAAATTCGAGCGTCATTCACAAAGGAGGTCACAGTGCTGTGGCTTACATCTCTGTCTATGTCAGATATGAGGATGAGGAACAGGATAGGAGCAAGTATTGTACCTTGTGGAATAGAGCTTTTCACTGTACCCTCGTCTCACTTTACTCTGTTTACTATTAATCTTAGTTCTGTTTCTTAGGAAGTTATAGATCCATCTACCCACTTTCCCTGTTATTCCTTTTTAACGCATTCTGTGTGCTATTACACCATGATCGCACTTGGTAAAGGCTTTTGCAAAGTCTGTGTATACTCCATCAGCATTCTGTTTTTCCTTCAGAGCATCCAAGACCATGTCATAGTGGTCCAATAGTTGGGACAGGCAGGAGCAACCTGCTCTAAATCCATTCTATCCTGGGTTGTGCAACTGATGGGTATATAGATAGGTGGCGACCTTGTTTCTTAGAACCCTTTCAAATATTTTTATGATGTAGGACATTAGTCCCACATCATAAAAATATTTGAAATTGCTTTACTACCACTTTTGTGAAGTGGAGCTATGTCTGTTGTTTTTAGTGACTGTGGGATGACTCCAGTGTCCATGCTCCCTCTCCATACAATATTAAAGGCACATGAAAGGAGTTTCTTGCAGTTCATGATGAACATAGAGTTCCATGAGTCTGGGCCTAGGGCAGAGTGCATTGGTATGCAACAAAATCACAATAAACAGGTGATATCGTAATACGCAAAACAAATCTAATCGACAAGTGCCTATGACAAAATGGTAAGTAACTAACCACTGTGAAAAATAGTGAACATCCAAGTGCTAACGTGATTTCTCAAATTATCAAGGACATGTAAAAATAACAGAACAATAAAAGGCTTATAAGGCTAAGATGTCACTTCACCTATGACACAACACCCGTCCCAATATGACAGCTTAAATTCTTTCGAAATTTTATTAATTATAACTTATTCTAATTTGTATAACTAAATTATTTTCCATATTAAAATCAATACTATTTTTCATTAAGCTTGATTCAGTTATATTTTTCTCCACCACAGACCTGCTTATGCAGCTTTCTCAGCCTTTTTAAAATCAATCGGATGGCTAAAATCTCTCAATGAATAACAGAGCATTAGATTCTTGTCCAGTTCTAATGCATAAAAATAAGAACTCACATGGTGGACCTTCACGATTCCTGGTACAAGGCCTTGTCTCCGTGATTAAATCAGTGAAAAAATACAGTCCTGCATTCTGAAAATTAAATAAAAAGAATTATTACGATAAAATTATATACAGACATGATTTCACTTAAAGAGAGATATAAACGAGGACTTAATAAAATTACATTTTGCTTCTAGCAGATTGAAAATAAACTCTAACACCCATACAAAATGAATATCAATGCTCTAATGTTCAATATCTGAAAGACATGATTGAGATATCAACCCACATAATACTTTTGAGTATAGTAGTCATGATTAAATGAACTGCTGCTGAAAATAAAATAAACATCCCTTGCTGAGTTACAGTGATTCGTGGGTCAAACAGAGTGCAGTGATCTGGTATGTGCTGCCACCTACCACCCAAGTAAATGGTTCAAAACTAAACATTGTAACAACATTTTCAGCTGACACCAGCCACCCACAGTACATATACGAAGCTGGAATTCACTCGCACTGCATGATGCTGAGAGCCAACCACAGTCTATAGTGCCAAGGGCCACCCACAGTCTATAGCACCGAGGGCCAACCACAGTCTATAGTGCCGAGGGCCAACCACAGTTTACAGTGCCGAGGGCCAACCACAGTCTATAGTGCCGAGGGCCACCCACAGTCTATAGTGCTGAGGGCCAACCACAGTCTATAGTGCTGAGGGCCACCCACAGTCTATAGTGCCATCCACAGTCTATAGTGCCGAGGGCCACCCACAGTCTATAGTGCCAAGGGCCACCTACAGTCTATATTTATTTTATCTATTTATTTAATGTCTTTGCAAACAGTACATTGAGATTGTGTATATATAATAGTGGGTTGCAATGCAAAGAGAGCCTCTATTATGCCTAGGCATTATTGGCTTACATTCTACTTAATACTAAGTAGTATATCATAGTTGTACAGTAGGAAAGTAATTATTTCATAGTTGTACAGTAGAATATTAATTATAAATGAATCAAAATTTGTATAATACAAAGATATACGTATTTATATTCTAAAATGCTTTTGGGAAAAACAATGATTTAATTATATTCCTGTCAACAATGGATAAAAGGTTCAATGTGATTGTTTCAGTTATGTTGTGGGAGTACATATGTGAGTAAATGTGTACTGAGTATTTAGCATTTAGTCTAGGGTGATTAAGTGGCTTTTGAGAAGTCTTAAATTGATTTTCAGACTGGGTTACTTTAATATCTTCTGGTAATGAATTCCATATTTTGGGGCCCTTTATGGGCATAGAGTTTTTACACAGTGTGATATGGACACAAGGTATATCAAAAAGAGATCTGTGTCTTGTGTTGTGGTCATGTGTCCTGTTAAGGTTGGTGAGGAGAAGTTTGAGTGGGGGGTTTATATTTGCATGTATTGTTCTGTGTATGTAGTAGGCACATGAATAAGTATGGATGTTCTTAATGGTAAGCAGATTCAGACTTTTGAAAATTGGTGATCTATGCTGGTGGGAGTGGGAATTTGTTATCCTTCTTACTGCTGCCTTTTGCTGGGTTATTAGGGGTTTTAGGTGATTGGATGTTGTTGATCCCCATGCACAAATTCCATATGTAAGATAAGGGTATATGAGTGAATGGTACAGTGCCAGGAGAGCTGATTGTGGAATGTAGTACCTTATCTTTGATAGTATGCCTACAGTCTTGGAGATTTTCTTGGTGATTTGTTGTATGTGTGTCCGGAACTTAAGGCTACTGTCAAGGTGGATACCTAGGAATTTTCCCTCTGTGAGTCTTGTGACTGATGATCCATTTAGCGTAATGTTAATTGGATCATTTGCAGCTTTGTTTCCAAACTGAATGAAATAGGTTTTATCAGTGTTCAGGGTAAATTTGTTAGTTATCATCCAGGCAGATATTTTCTGTAATTCAGCATTGACTGTGTTTGCTAGTATGACTGCGTTTGGGTGGGAAAATACATATGTAGTGTCATCTGCAAATAATATGGGTTTGAGTAGCTGTGATGCATTCGGTATTATTATTATTATAATCAAAAAGAAGCGCTAAGCCACAAGGGCTATACAGCGCTGCAGGGTAGGGAAGGAAGCGAGGGTATTGGATGGCAGAAGGTAGGAGGGATGATCAGTAGGTTACAGAAAACAGCGGGGCAGGGGATAGTACGGGGGTAGAGGGTAGCAAGAGATTGAAGTAGAAAGGGCTGAAGGTATCAGAATTTGTGAAGTAAGTCAGTTGTTGTCAAAAAGTCAATGAGAGAGTCTGGATGAAAGGTGGGTCCATCAGCGAGAAGGGAAGGTAAAGAGAGAGCAGCGGAGCGAAGACGACGACAGAGGTAAATTCTGCGTGCTCGTTGATAAAGTGGGCAGTCCAACAGACTGTGGCTGACTGATAATGGAGCTTGGCAATTCTCACAGAGAGGAGCAAGACGCCTCTCCATGAGATATCCGTGAGTAAGACGAGTATGGCCAATGCGAAAAACAGGAGAGAGTAGTCTCCCAACCTAGACACTGGTGATAAGAAGACGGCCAGTAACCTATACTCGGTTTAATAGATTGAAGTTTGTTGCCGAGCATAGTAGACCAACGTTGTTGCCAACGGGTGTGAAGGTGGGAAGATATTGCAGCAAAATAGTCCGTAAATGGAATACCTTCATAAGAAACTGGTAGGTCATGTACTGCTGACCGCGCAGCAGTGTCTGCCTGTTTATTGCCCTGTACGTCAACATGACCAGGGACCCAACAAAAAACAATATCTTTATGCTTGGTAAAGATGCGGCGTAGCCAAAGTTGGATACGGAGGACTAAGGGGTGAGGTGTATCAAATTTTTGTATAGCCTGTAAAGCACTAAGGGAGTCTGAGACAACCACAAATGATGACACAGGCATAGATGCAATACGGATAAGTGCTGTAAGGATGGCATATAATTCAGCAGTAAAAATACTAGCCGAAGATAGTAAATGCCCTTGTACGACGCTGTCCGGAAACATTGCTGCGAATCCTATGCCGTCAGAAGACTTAGAGCCATCTGTGTACACAGCAATGGCATGTGAATGAGAGTGAAAGTGGTCAAGAAAAAGAGAGCGGGAAGCGACCGTAGACAGTTGGGCTTTCGAGCAAGGGAGGGAGAAAGAACAGACTCGAACAGCTGGAACTTCCCAGGGGGGTAGGGAAAAGTGAGATGCTACATGTACATAGAAAGGTGGTAGTTGAAGAGAAGACAAGAGCGAATGAAGGCAGAGAGAGAAGGGATGGAGTAAACGGGCGGCGAACAAATAAAGAATGCCTACTAATATCAGTGACCATTCTATAAATGGAAGGATTGCAGAGATCATGAGAGCGTACATAGTAGCGCAGGCAATGGGCATCACGGCGATCGGATAAGGATGGAACGTTCGCTTCTGCATAGAGGCTCTCAACAGGGGAAGAGCGAAAAGCACCAAGGCATAAACGTAATCCTTGGTGATGAATGGGGTTAAGGCTAGAGAGAGTAGCAGGAGATGCCGCTGAATAGATCTGGTCACCATAATCAAGTTTCGATAAAATAAGGGTGGAATGTAGGCGAAGGAGGGTTCGACGATCAGCTCCCCATGAAAGATGAGCAAAGGTTTTAAGAAGGTTCAGCCAGCTGTGACAAGTTGCCTTCGAGAGGTAATGTGAGGGTTTCCAGGATAACTACGATCAAAGAGGAGGCCCAGAAACTTGACTGTATCGCGTTCAGGGATACGGGAGCCATAGAGGTACAAAGGATGATCGGAGATGACAGAGGTCTAGTGAAAGTAATTTGGTGGGTTTTAGTACTGGAAAATTTAAACCACGTGTGGTGGCCCAATTGGAAACACGGTCGACTGCATGTTGGAGAGAAACTGTAATGAGGTGACAGTCAGCGCCTGCACAGGCAATAGCGAAGTCATCAACATAGAGTGATGACCAAAATATTTGATGGAAGAGACTAGAGGCCAAATCATTAATAGCAAGGAGAAAAAGTGTTGTGCTCAGAACACATCCCTGGGGGACACCTTCAGCTTGGATAAAGTCCGGGGAGAGCACATTATTAACCCGAACATGGAAATGCCTGTCAGTTAAAAAGTTCTTAAGGAAGGATGGTAGATTGCCTCGAAGGCTAAGGAGTGGGCTTGGGCTAAAAATATTATACCTCCAAGTTGTGTCATATGCCTTCTCAAGGTCAAAAAATATGGCAATAACTGAGTGGTTATTCGCAAAGGCATTACGAACATACGTATCCAAGCGTAGTAAGGGGTCTATGGTAGAACGTCCCTTACGAAAGCCATATTGACGAGTGGAGAGACTGTTGTGTGTCTCTAAATACCACACTAAACGTCTATTTACTAGGCGTTCCATTACTTTGCAAACTGCACTGGTAAGAGCAATGGGACGATAGTGGGAGGTTTCATGTCCCGTAGTGCCTGGTTTGCGGGAAAGGGAGAACAATGGCGGATTTCCACAGCTGTGGAAAGAACTCCTTGTGACCAAATAAGATTGTAAAGGCGTAATAGGACTGCAAGGGCTGACTGATGTAAATGTTGTAGCATACGAAAAAGAATGTCGTCGGGCCCAGCTGCCGATGATCAACAAGCTGAGAGTGTTGCCTCCAGTTCTTGAAGTGTAAAAGGCACATTATACTGTTCTTCTCTGGAGAAGAAAAGTCCAAGGGTGCTAACTCTCTGGCAGACTTTGAGGAAAGAAATGAGGGGCATAGATGGAGTCCCTGAGAAATACGGACCAGATGATTGCCAATTTCATTGGCAACATCTAGTGGGTTTGCTATATCAACACCGGCAACCCGCAGAACAGGAGCCGGGTCAGGAGAATATTTACCACTCAGTTTTCGTACTTTTTTCCAGACTGCACTCATAGAGGAAGCAGAGGTGATGGTGGAGACATAATCTCGCCAGCAAGTGCGTTTAACATCACGGATGACATGGTGAGCGATCGCATGCTTCTGTTTAAAATCAAGGAGTCTCTCTGTGGTTCTATTGTACCGGTACCTGCCCATGCAGCGCGTTTCAAACGTAACTGCACGAGCACAAGCAGGAGACTACCAAGGCACGCATTT